GGTGAGGTAGTGGGTGAGCCTAACGGTGGCAGGTGAAGTTTAGCCTGGCAGTAGCTCTGAGGAGAGGGTCTGTATAGCCGTGTATCTTTATCTTAATGGAAAATGACTGAACGGAGCAGATCCAGGGTGAGTTAGGTCAGAGGTGATCTTGAGGGCCTTCCGAAGTCAGCGATGGTTATAGATGCCCTCCATGTCTAGCATCTGTAGTCCAGTGATGTGTTCGGCTGCCTTGACGATCCGCGGCAGGGCTTTCCAGTTCGCGGAGGAACAGCTGGAGTACCAGGCTGTAATGCAGCGTGTGAAGACGCTCTCTGCCGTGAACCGACAGAAATTCAGGAGTTGTCGTAGCAGATGGGCTCCTAACCCTAAACCTAACCCTAAACCTAACCCTAACCTCCTCGGGAATAAAAGACAGTTTAGAATAGTGATACTTCATTAATCCCCATGGGGAAATTCTCTTTTCACCTACCCCATCTTCCTCTCGCTGAGACACAGAGACGCATATACAACCATGCTTGGGGGTCACAGTGCAGTGTTAGCCAGTGTGTAGCACCCCTGTAGCTGTGCCTCGCTCAGGTCCCCACGGACATGTGACTATTCTGCCGAGGCCAGGGCTTGAACCCGTGGCCTTCCGATCTCAGACACAGAAGCTAAGCTAGAGAAGAGGAGTGAGATTGTGAGAGGTCTTCAGTGATGTGTAAGAAGCTGGAGACTCTCTCAACTGCACTGTCGTTTATGTGGGTTTGGAGATGTGACACATTTGGATTTTCCTTGGTGCTTTTGGTGTTGAGAGCCTTGTTATTTGCTGAGCACCAGCCAGCCACTGTATGCTGTTGTGCCGTCTGCAAACATGATGATGGTGGTTGAAACTGAGGCAGGATTGCAGTCATGAGTGAACAGCGGATAGAGCACGGAGCTCAGTGTGCAGTCCTGCAGGGCTTCTGTGCTGAGCATTAAGACGGCAGAGAATCTCATGGCCAGTCTGACGGCTTGTGGTTTGTTGATAAAAGAAATCCAGAACAGAGTTGAAGTGTGGTGTGTTCAGGCCAAGGTCATCGAGTCTGGATACCAGCTGTTAGGAAATTATGTTCTTAAATACATACATAGGTGTTATGGTGGTCTGTGTGTGCAAAAATGTTGGAGAGAGCAGATGAGATGGCACCTTCAGTGGATCTGTTTTCGCTGGACACATACTGATGTTTGTCCAGGGCTAGTGGAATGTTGGCCTTGATGTGAGCTTGCATCAGGCTCACAGAGCACTTCATGACTATCAGAGGTATTGCCACAGGGCGGAAGTCATCGCATGTACATGCTACTGAGGACTTGGCACTGGGATGGCGGCTGTAGGCAGGTAGAGACTGTAGTCAAGGCTTGTGAGAAGTTGACAATGCTGGTGAGAACCTCTGTTAACCCTCTGGAGCCTAGGGGTAGGAAACACACTCTCACTGACTGGGGCATGATCACACATTTCTTCAAATATCATAAACTTAATTCATGACAAATAAATTATTTCTTATATATTTGTTTTGCCATCACACTCATCTTTATTTTAATATATATTGTAAATATGTCAGATTTTTGTTAAGTTTGAAATTTGACATCAAAATATAGACATTGCAAAATGCAGTTTGGAACATTTGCAGAAACATTATAAAAGTACATCGTAAGCAATGCTGGCAGTTTGTTTTGATCCCAGATATCTGATCACCAAAGTCTTGGCTACATGAAGATGACTAAATGGTGTAGTTGCAACATTCATTTGGATAAATAAATAAGAAAAACCTAACTCATGTAACTATTTCTGGCTCCTTTCATTGAATATGTAGCAACTTTCATGTGTATGAATGAGCCATTGTCACCTGGCCACGTCCCCAACCCCCTTTTATGGCGCTGAAGGGGATGTATCTGGATCGCGTTTCACCGTTGCGCTGTTAATCAAATTACCATGCGAATGCGATTTGAATACGCACTAATGCGGCTATTTAGAATGTGAATAGCGATCTTCAGGTGAGAGCGGTATACACGCCCCCGATGCAGGTAAAACAAAGTAAGATGACAAGGTTTACTTTTTTGCCGATTTAACCTAATTAAAAAAACTTTAATACTTCCGACAATGGACTTTTTGAAAAGAAGACAGATTACGGATTTATCCAGCGTTTTTTTCATGATTCTACATTAAGATTTCAGCGAGATATAAACTGAAATAGACGCGAAAAGTACGCGATGTCGCCGACGACATACTCGACCCCAGAGAGTTAACTGGTTGGCCCAACTCCTGACTGCCCCTTCTGGCACTCCATCTGGTCCAGGTGTTTTGGTTATGTCGATCTTACACAGCGCTCACTTGACATTATGGGCACACTGTGCCGGTACGTCATCTTCTCTAGATGGTGTGACCAAATTGACTGGTTCTGTGTTCTCCCTGTTGAATGATGCAGAGAAGTGTTTAGCTGGTCTGGTACGAGCCCATTCACTGTGATGGCATTGATGTTGCTGTTTTCGTAGTCTGTGATGGACTTGATGCCTTGCCACATTCTATGGGGGACACTTGTTTTCGAAGTGGCCCTCAGTCTGGAGGCTGTTATTGTATTTTGCTTGTTTCATGACTCTCCTGAGCTCTGGCCTTCCTGTAGGACAGAGTGACACCAGACCTGAAGGCCGCATCACATGCTTTGAGTGGTTGTTGGGACCTCATTGTTCATCTAAGATTTCAACCACTAGCAAACTAAGTTTGGCTAATCAATTCCTCATTAAGCTATTTAACTAATTAAGTTAATTAATTAAGTGAATAGGTGGTTAAATTTAATGAAATCCTGGAATAGCTGGGGTGTCCCTGCGGAGATGTTTCGGAATCAAAGCAGTGATCTTCTAGTCATGCAACAAGGTATCGGTAACTTTTCAGAGAGCAGAAGAAATTTCTGTTACTTTGTATTGTGTTACTATTCATTTGCATATGTTCTAAAGTTAAATTGTGTTTGTTGTTTTTTTGAGCAAATGCACACTTACTACTGAGATAAACATTTTCTTTCATGGCCTAAGACTTCCATATTATTGTATATTGTCTAAAGTGTATCCCAGTGTTTCTCAGCTGTAGCATAGTTCAACCTCAATGCCAGTCAATTATCCATGTATTTACAATTCCAGTTGCAGTGATTTGAGGTTTGTTTCAGGGAAGAGTCACCCTGGATGGATCCGTATGCCTGCCTACACAGTCACTCAGATACTGATGGATTGTGGGAGGAGACCTGCGCTCCCGCGGCACAAACGGGGTGGGTATACGGAGCTGTCACCCCGGAGGCGTGAGGCGACAGTGCTACACCTTGACTGACAGCCTGCATCCGCGGGAGGAAAACTGCCGTCTGCTCACGGCCCAGCTTGGGACAGAAAAATGAAGGGGCAGAAATAAGCGAGGGCGGAATGTCCGCAGTAAAGAGTCGGAAAAAAAGACACGATGGAAGCGGGACATTCCAAGGCCGCCCGGGATGGATGCGGGCGGGGATTTTTAATTGCCAGAATCCCACTCCCTGTGCTCTACGCGGCTTTACAGACAGGAGCCAAGGGATGCTTTTCCCACAACGGCAGCATGGGCTCTGATACAGGAAGCGAGGAGAGTAATTAGCACTCCCAGTGACTCCTGGCTGGATTAAGAGCTGATGCGTGGATCACTGACAGCGTTCACAAAGTCCCCACCATGCGCGTTGACCTAGTGAAAGCGCTCTCTGTTTACTCAACCCCCCAAAGAGGCGTCCCATTAACGTCCAACGGAGCTTCCCGCAATGTGCTCTCCCACATAATCGGCTTCAGATAATTCCCCAATCTTATTTCCCCAGATGCGAGTGAAAGCCTCCCGACAGCCATCGCTCTCCTGTCTTTAGTTTCGATAAGAGGACGGCGTCCTGGCTGGCCCGGCCTAACGAGGAGAAGCACATCGCCACGGCAACTGCAACGAGCCTCTCAGGGTCCCTTTTTAAAATCACCAGGAAAACAAGAATAGGAGCCTGTCAAGCAGCCCTTGTAATTATTTTTGCTTAATTGAAAAGCTGTCCTAGTCTTTGCACACCTCCCCCATTTTAAAAATTGGTCATAATTAAACAGAATTGCTGACAGACTCAAGACTAAAGTCACGGTGGTATAAATTTCAACCTCATTTTGAGAAAAGGTCAGGGAGATTCCTCACTGAGCGCTGAAGTTACAGGGGGATTATAGCTTATGTTAGAGGTCAGCAAAGTCACCCAAGATGTCATGAGAGTCGGCCCTCAATAAAACACTTCTCAGAGTTTGTCCCCAAAGGGCTGTTTAACATCTATTAATTAGTGTAAAAAAGGCAGCAGAGTCACTGTAGGGATCTGCATAACGAATATGAAAAGACAAAGACAAGCCGCTGTTTGTCACCACATCCTCCTGCTGTTTGTTACTTCAAAGCTCACCCATCCTGCTTTTCAGTTTGACTCCTGCTCTCACTCCACCTGAAGCCTGTGCGCTTTCTTCTTCTTACTTTAAATAATGCAAGCCTCCCAACTGCAGGCCCTGTGGGTTAGGAGTCTGTGTTCTTAGCCGGCACAGTAAACATACCACTGCTGGGCCCTTGACCAAGGCCTTTAACCCGAAAACTGCTCCAGACATACCGGATAAATGCTGACCTACACTGTGACCACAAGCGTCACCCTCACCTGTGTCCCATTGAGAAGAAGGAAAACGTGAAAAGAAAGTGAAGGTACTAAATTCAAATCTACCTGATTGGAGGAGATTTAACGAACATTTAATTATGCTTGGAGTTTTTATTACGTTTCCTGTTTATTTTTTTTATATACTGGTGTCCAGCACGCTGGATTTCAGAAGTTATTGTAATGGGTTACTGGAGAAACTGTATGGCCGGTATAGTGGTCCAAGAGATGAAGATGCTGTGAGGGACATCCTGCTGAGAAGGTTTGCTGGGGTGGTGATGTCATGTCGGTGTGGCTAACGGGTCCGCCCTCTGTGACGCATACGTCGTGCGTATAACGCGTGAGGGTTAGTAGCCTGACACGTAAGGCACATGTTATGTCAAGAACTAGATGCGGTAGAGTCTCCCTTGGTGCACCTGTGCAGGAAGTCTCCCCGACCTCTGCACTGAGTGCTAATGCCACAGCTCCACTTCTCTGGCTGCACAGCTGAAACGGTGTTCAAATATATTTCATCACCACTACAAGTGCTTGGAATCAATTCATCAAATTCTGTACCATACCAGTGTTGCTGTACTCTGTACTCTAGAATATCCATCCCAGCATGCTTTGCAACTCGCAAAATGATTGTTTCTTGTCTTGACAGAGTGAAAAGAATAATAAATAACAGCTTCTTTGACTATGATGTGAGTCTTGAAATGGAGGCCCAGCTCATCGTAATATTAATTCATCTAATTTTTTCTGCTCATTTGCAGAGCGTAAAATAAAGGGAACAGCGCTATTTATGGAAAACGGGATATGCAACGATGCCAAGAAATCAGCAGCAGAGGTCTTGGACTGTAAGGCTCAAAAACGGCTGTGTCGGGGTAATGTGAGTTTATTGTGGGTATGTGGCCTTCCTGCTGCACCAGTGTGCTCAGTATGGTGGCCGGGGGGAGGAACACGATGCTCACTATGATGATGTTAGTTAATGAGCATGATGGGAAGAACTGCAGGAGTACATGGGCCACAGTAACATGCTGCCAGACAAAAAAATACTGCTTGTTATCTTAGAATAATAAAAATTCGAATTAAAACTGAGACGTAAGCTTTACTTAAGGCTGGTGAAAAAAAGACAATACACAATATGGCTCTCTTGAGTAATAAGTTAAAGTAGACGCTGATTGGCCTGTAACGTGTTCAGACTCCACTTTTCCGCAGCCATTGCGGTCTGCACACAGTCATGTTATGTTTGCCCATGTGTGCAGAGGCTCGCGGTTGGGCGCATGCGTGCAGCAGTGATATTCCACCGGACCAGCAGAGGGCAGATATTGCCTTCTTGGTCAATGATGAGTCGTATATACAGTATATGCAGGTGCCTCTGCACCTCCCACAGCCGCCCATCCAAAGTGCCTATAACTACAGCTGTTCTTCTTCTATGGTTTTTTTTCATTGCAGTCAGGGCTGCCAGCAGCTGGAAACACCTTTGCACATGTGCAGTCAACACACACTGACATAGAAAGGTCTGCTAGACCCAAAATCTGAGCTGTAATGTTATGAAGAAAAGTTGGTTTTTGATTAGGCTTTAGAGTGGTGAATTGCACATAACTGGTATAAGTACGCATTTGGCGAATTAAGCGATATGTGCAGCAATTTCTTGGCCTAACAACGCAAATGCACATAAAATTAACTTAACCTTTACACTGCAAATGAAGTACGCATTAGTCATAAAAAGCTTAAAATGCGCGGTAATTTCTCGTTATAACAGCAGAAAAGTACTTATTTTATGTGCATTTGTCTTGTTATGTCAAGAAATTGCTGCAGATATCGTTTTACGCGCCAAATGTGTACTTGCGTACCAGGTAAATGCATCCCTGGTTATACCTCCCCCATACCCCCCCAAACAAACTTTAAAAAACTGAAAGGGTAATTAGAGGCACTATGACGTGGCTGCACTAGGTGTTGGGTCCCACAGATCCATGAAAATTTTGGGGGGCACGGTGCTCAATTTAAAAAATTGAGCAGAGCAGTGCCTGTAGTCCTTAGTCCCCCCCCCCCACCCCTACCAAAAAAAATTAATATCACAATCTGCACATCGTAGGATGGGCCTGAGATGGACTTCCCAGACAAAGCCAAAGGCCATTCTTCATTTTGCAAGTAACACAACAATTATTAGAATACCAGTACTATATCATTTCTAAAACAAATGATTAGTTTTTTTTACTCACAGTTAATAATTATAATATATTGTCTTGGTGATTTTGGGCAAAGGTGTAGATAGGCCTATAAACGATAAATGGGACAGTAACTCCCCATCTTTGTACATCTCTGGCTACCTTGTTTTCCAACTGAAGCACCGAAAACGTGAAATGGTGACTCTGAAACCATATTCGGGTGGGATTAGTCCTAACTAGGGAGGTTTGGTATGTAACAAAGTAATTTTACTGGCTGATTGGAACGAGATACGAAGGGTGCATAAATTCCCCAAATTACCAGAGTTAAAGATAGAGCTAATCCCAACTGGATGTTAACCTCAGAGTTAGTGCAGCTAGAAAGCAAAAGGCAACAGAATTTTCATTTTTGCGTGGCATATTCCTTTAACATACTAATTAAGCACAAAAAGAGAGCTTCTTTCCCTCGCAACCATACTCACAAATCTTACAGCTCACTGTAACTGTAACTTGGAGTACTCAGTAGTATTGTGCTGCTCTGCACCAACTGAAAACCTTGACAGCAGAGGCTGTAGGTGTAGGCTGTCAGACTTTTATGTGGAATATTCAGTACACATTTAAGCTCTATTTTAGTTGGTAAATACTGTTTTCCCTTACAAAAAAGAGGTGTGCTGTTACGGATATAACCTTATTACTCAGATGACAAGATAATTCACTTCAGAATTTTTACTCTGGAGTCTTGTAATAATTATAGACAAGGCAGATTTGGGCTGGATTAAAATGATGGACCTTGTCGGTAATTGCTTCAAATACATTACATCCCCAGGTAAAACTAATCCCGTCTGCATAGTGCTTACTGCTCACACTGTGTGATTGTGTAGACCTATGTGAGGCTGTGTTCTGTGCTGGAAAGGCATCCTGTCCTCCTTACCATGAGCCCGGTGCTTCCTGGACTCGGCTCCCAGCTCACCATAAGCCTACGCTGGGTAAACAATGACTGAAAATTAGGGCTGGAACTATCGATTATATCAATAATCTAGTAATCTATCAATTAATCGGACGATTCACCAACATATAACATAATATAATGTGGAGGGGGCACAGTGGTGTGGTAGTTAGCACTGTCGCTTCACACCTCTGGGTCCTGGGTTCAAGTTTAAGTTCCGTGTGTCGTTGTGGGGTTTCCTCCGGGTACTGCGGTTTCCCCCCACAGTCCAAAAACACGCTGAGTTTAACTGGAGTTGCCAAATTGCCCATAGGAGTGTGTGTGAGTGATTGCTGTGTGAGTGTGCCCTGAGATGGGTCGGCGCCCCACCCTGGGTTGTTCCCTGCCTCATGCCCATAGCTTCCGGGATTGGCCCCGGACCCCCTGTGACCCTGAATAGGATAAGCGGTTTGGAAAATGGATAGATGGATGGATGGATGGATTATATAATGTATTACCACATTGGTGGCAGGCAGGAACCAGCCAACCACTGCAGCATTCTTGATCAGGCACACATACAATCTGGGGTCTCCAATTAAGTTGCACATAAGCTGCATGTTTTTGGACGGCGGAAGGAAACGTAAAGGTCCTTGAAAAGTCATGCAAGATGTAAACTCAGGGAGTTTTACCATGGAGGTCGACCAAGGGAGCTCCCACACAGCTGATCAACCCCAGCGCCAGAACCATTTTGCTCACCAAGAGTAACATTAATAATCATGGAATGACAATGTTTAAACAAGTGACAGACAGTCATTGGTGAAGCAGATGACAAACTGACATGTCAGAACCATGGGCAGAGCAACCAACATGGTGTCTGTTTTTACGCTGTACATCGTAATTTTAGTTTGCACAAATAAGACCACATGCATGTAATACAAAGTGCTTTTCCACTGCCACCAAGAACCGACCCGAACTGCGAAACTGGCATGTTTCCATTGCAGAGTATGCAAGCTGAACCGGAGCCGTAACTGCGCTGACATGGCCCTGACAGCGCCTCTGCCTGTCATGACCTGCTCGTACGATCCTCGTGTGTTCCACGCCCCCTCATTACCTATGCGCGCTACCCTAATTGTGATCACCTGTTGCCTGTTATTTTCTGCTTGTCTTGTGTATTTAGTCCGCGTTCAAGTCTGTTTCCCTAGGTCTGTCATTGATGTAGTTTGTGTGTGCTCCCAGTAGTCCTGTCAGCCCTAAATAAACCCCTTTGTACTTGTACTTACGGCTCTCTCGCTTGCTTCCCCGCTTGCCCGCACGCCGGTCATTATTCTGCCGCAACGACCGTTCTGCAGTGGAAGACCGAAGTGAGCTGGAACCGTGCTGTGATTATTGTCACTTCGTGGTGCAGATCGGGAACCAATCGAGTCAGTTCCTTTATGCCAGTGGAAAAGGGCCAAAAGTCAGAGGTTACTTAAAAAAAGGCCTATGCTTTATCTTAAGCAAGCTAGGAAACCACTGATTAATACTAATCCCAATATTAATTAAACTATTTTAATATCAACATGGGACTCCTTTAAATGGGTGGAAACCTCACCCCCCCCCCCCCTCCCCAATGCTCAACCCAAAAGTTCTTTATACAAATGGGATTTAATTAAGTAATGGTGACAACTTGCTGAAAATGAATTAGGAATGAAACTGATTATTAGAATAGCTGGAGATAAGACACATGATAAGAAACTAAAAAGCACAAAACTAAAACTTTTATTTTATACATCATGTTATATATTTTTAAATGAAATATCAGTAGTCAAATGGGAAACTTGGTGGTAAAATAAACTTTATTTTATATTGATATAGCCTATACACCCAGCCACATCTGATAACTGCAAAAGCAGATGTGTTAAAAAATATTGTCGCAACACAATAGGTAGGCCTAATAGTTACCTGAAATTACCTGCTCACACTAACAATCAAAAGAATAGAGCGACTTACCACGCAGACAGTGACAACCGATTCGCAGTCTGCTTCCTGTTTGGACAAATATTGAACACATCCTGTGTTTGATGGCTGTGTAGTTATTTTTTTTTACACGTATTTAAGGTACCTAATATGACACTAAGTGTTCTGTGGCAGTCATGTGTTGTTAATTATTTCTTACACTAATACATCCATCGATCAGGTTGTTGACAGTGGTTTCTATTCTTGTATAATACTGGCGATTTCAACACAACGGAACGCTAAACACAATACAAGCAGGAAGATCGGGGTGCAGCTGCTCCTCTCTTCGCGGCAGCTTGTGCGTGTAAATGCGTGGGAATGGGTGTGTGTGTGTGTGTGTGCAGCCCTGTCATCCACTCTCCACCCAGCCCCAACGCCAGACCTGCATGTGATATTGTGCATCTGTTTGACAGATTGAGATTTTTAATATTTGAATATTAAACTTAATAAATAATAATTACTTAAATGTTGTGTAGCTCTAACTAGCCATCGCAATTTTTGGCATTCGCAGTCCCTATAATGAAATTCATTAGATATGTCTATAAAGCTCAGACGTGAGAATTCAGCAGTCAGATTTTGCAATATTTCTATTGAATAATACTAACTTCAATGCGCAGTTAAAGAGTGGAATGATCAACATTTTTAATTAAAGAAGAAAACGAGGGATTTTCATTTTTAGCTTTTTTGTATAATCTACCTTATTTTTGATTCAGACGCTGGGAAAATAATTTTAACTGCTATTCATCTCAGGATGTTCACCGTGATAGCCACGTACCTACCTCGGGCTGATTCTCTTTGTCACTGTACCATGTGTACCAACAGGAAAAGGGTGTAGTTACGAGCATGCAGCGCGCGGGCACTGTGCGTCATGCTGTGGATCGATGCCCCCTGCTGCTCCATCTGTGAATTTCTGCAAACACACGCTTGGTTGGGGGTAAGACTCCAATGAAGTGATTTGGTGACGGTAAGGCTCCAGCTTCAGGGACAATTAGGGTGCAAAGGGAAGCTGGTGTGTGGATAGACTTTCCTGCGACACAGAGGAATCGATTCCTTGTATACTGTGACTGTTTCTGAAATACCATCGGGACACCAGGAAATCTGTAGTTACTGACTGGTGTCTCGGGGTTCTGAACAGTTGAAATATGGGGCATGTGTCTGATATCGATTTTTCTTTTCTGAACTTCTGCCGGTTGCAAGTTGCTTGTTTACAACATTGTTATACTGTTGATTTGTTAATTAAAAGATCAATTTAAAGATTCGTTACTTTAAACATCATTTTGTTCTTGTAGAACAATTTGAGATATAACAGAAACCTCCCTTTAAGATTAAGAACAAAAACATTTTCATATTTTTCAGGTAACACGTATTACAAGCAACACGCCACTATGATGATAAATTCATTGATAAGGAGTAGCCTATTCAAAAGTATTTACCAGTTATTTTATTTATCAAAAAGAGCGATCCCATTGTAATAAAATTTTCTAATTGTGGCTATTTTTCTCTACTTATAGGTGCTGCGTTACAATAGTCTTCACAGGAGTGTTTCACACACCTAATCAGCAGTTTTATTTTATTTCATTTATTAAAATGACTGCTTGTAGAACATGGATGAATGAATGAATGGGTGATGGGTAATGAATGAATGACGAATGAATGAATGAATTATCACAACGTAAAAAAATCGGTAATCACTGTCAGGTTAGTCAATATAACCGCTTGTCAAATTCTCTCAGTCATTTTCACTCTGCTCCGATTTCAGGCTGCTGAAATCACATAGTATAATGAAAACGTCCTTCTCGTTGAAAGTAGAGATGGCCAACAAACCACGAACATTTAAATTTATAGTTTTAGTAACTAATAATCACAGTATGTGGATTTTGCTTGTTGTGGGTCCAGAGCCTATCCCAGAAGCTATGGGTGTATCACAGGACACGTGGAGAACATGCAACATCCACAAACATCGGGCCAAAACTCGAATCCCAGTCCCAAAGGTGCGGAGCAACAGTGCTGGCCGCTACACCACCCTTGGAAACTGGCAAAGACCTAAATAAACAAACTAGCACATTAAAAATGAACAAATTTTAAGAAACAGGACCTTTGATTAAATATTTTTATGACTCGTTTAATTTCAGTATCGTTTCAAAGCATTAACTACAAATTAGGTTTCACACTGACTTCTTACAGAATAGAAAAAAAAGAAATATTTTAGCTAATGATCATTCAGCATTTAATTATACAGATTTGTGCCGAGGCAGAGGTTCTTGTTACTCTGCTAAGGGAGGGCGTTAAAAATTGTACTAATGTACAGTTTCTTCCATGACTAAAATCCTTTGAAATTGGCCTAAGTTAATTTGGAGAGAAAAGTGACGTTTATCGGAAGTGACTAGTCCTTAACGGGGGAGAGTTTGAGCTTGACGGGAATGGCCCATCAGCAGCCAGAGCAGCATGACTCGCATTAGCGGGCTGACATGGCCAATTAAGGTGCCGATAGTGCTGTTCGTGCCAACGCCTGCAGGGGGCATTGTGTCGCACCGCTTTGGGGCTTGGAAGGCAGGGAGACCCGCGTGGCCCAAGCAGGTGGCCCCTCCTAAGGTTTTGCAGTGGCTGTTGGCAACACAGTCCTTGATGCACAGCTCACATCTGACACAATGAAGTTCTGCACTACTTAAAGTTAATCTGGCTTTTCCGTGGTCCACACAGAAACAAATCTATAAGTAAAACAGCATTTAAAAGCTTTATTTAAATACATATAGCTCAGTTGCATAATTGATTAATAGGCTGAATGCATCTACTTAAAGTTTACAGCAGAAGTCTTCTATCACATTGCCCACATCTCGTATTTCAGCAACAGCAACATCGCTGCTTCGGCGGTGTATTATAAAATCTTATACGCTGCAATTTAATCATTTTTCTTCGCCCAGTTCCTGATTTCATTTACAAGGACTAAAAACAAATATTGAAAATATGAAAAGCAGTCAGTTATAAAATATTGTTCCTGCCTTTCTTCTCTGCGGGTTGTTTGGCTATTAAAACAAAGCGCCGTGACTCGTCGGTGTGGAAGAAGCGACGGGCAGATCTTTAAAGAGCTACTGACTCGGCGCCCCTCGGAGATGCAATGCGCATCTGGCGTGGACTCACCTTGCAGTCCATGTAATCAAATATGACTGCGGTACCCCGCCAGTTCTCTGTGCCGCCGTGTTTTTGGAGCCCAGATTTTTCACCAGCTGAATACTTAATCACCTTATGCAAATGGTTTCATTAACATTCATTTATCTGCAGTCTTATGGATCCTTCAATGAATTTAGACATTATACTGTTTTGGGATCTTTTCAGATTGTCTTTCTTTTTGTTTCTTACTACCATCCATCCATCCATTATATCTTTGGCAACATAATAATAATAATAATAATAATAATAATCAATACTTTATTGATCCCCATGGGAAAATTGTCTTTACGACTCCCTCAACTAAATTGTACATGAAGGGCAGCCACCTGATGGGGGGCCTAGAGAGCTGGGGGTTAAGGGCCTTGCAAGACTGGGGGTACACCCATTGTGCGTGCACACACACACACACACACACACACACAAACAGGAGGAGCAGAAGGAACCCTGAGTGCCCAAAGTAAATCTGCACAACACAGAAAAAAAACACCCAAACTCCACACACAGACATGGACCCGCAGTGGGTTTCGACCCCCACTGGCAGTGTGAGATCAGGGCACAGAACTGATCCCTACTGCTGCTGCAGAGAGAGCTGAAGGGCTATTAAAGGGTAGGCAGAAGAAAACCAGTTACGGGAAAAGAATATTTATAGCGTGGACGCAGAACCATTACTTACCCAAACTTACCTAAAATACAATAAATAAAATGTTTCCAGGCGAGGCAGACATTAATGTTAAATAATGAAGATACTGTTCAACAAATTTCAGTAGAGTTGGACACCTGAAACACAAAGGACATTAATTACAGGGGGAGGACATTTGTTTTTGAAAAGGTTACCTTGTTCCACCACTGCACGTGCCACATGTGATCCATTTCACTACTTCTGCTTTTGTATCAGGACTATAATGGGCATCATTGGCGTCCGCCCGGCTGCTGCTGATGAGACGGGATGCATTTTTGTTTTTTTTTTACATGGCAAGAATCATGGAATCAGTACCCATCCCCACTACAACCAATATCCAAAAAATGTACAATTACATAAAAATGACACCGCAGATTCATAACTGTTTAAGATCAACAGATCACACGTAATTAGCGGATGCTTTTGACAAAAGCAATATAAAAGTAAGCAAGCCTAAGAGACAGAGAGCATGCGCGCATGGCTGTGATGGGGTTAGGGGCCTTGCTCAAGGGCGTGATGCTGGTATTATTCTGCTGACCATAGGTTGTGAACAACCTTCCGGACATGGGCCCTACTGGCCGCTACACACCCTCACGTATCATACCTGATCATTACCTTTTGTGGTAAATATTTCAGGATATTAGTAAAATCACACAATCAATGTATATCGTAGGCATGTTTTTGGACTATCTATCTATCTATCTATCTATGTATCTATCTATCTATCTATGTATCTATCTATCTATCTACCTATCTATCTATCTATCTATCTATCTATCTATCTATCTATCTATCTATCTAAATTAACTTTATTTGCAACCTTGTACAAGTATGAGACCAGGCAAACTGGATTTTTTCCTTGTCACATACACACACATATAGAGGTGAGAGCGAAGTCCAGTTATTTCAACATTTTCTGGGCGCTTATGGACCTTGTTCATTGTCAGAGGCAGAGAGGCCTAACTCACATATTACCCCCAGTCAATCCATCCATCCATCCATCCATCCATCCATTTATCTGTCAGTCTATCTAATCCATTTGTTTTCCATGCTTATCCAGTATGGTGCTGCACTGAGGGACCACGCTGGATAGGATGCTGACCCATCTCAAGCCACAATGGAACCAGACTGTTTTCTAAGTAGCTTGACTTTGTAAACTGTAAAAACTGAAAACTTGCTGGGAGAACTTGGCGGTCAGTAAATCACTGGAACATTTATACAGAGAGCGCAGTCCTTTCTTCTGTATGAGAGTAGTGGTTTTACAGCTCGTAAGGAAATATATTGCTGTGAAACCTTGCCCCCAGCCAGTCACTGCAGAGAAGTATGCCCACACCATCTGGCTTGATTTCGTGATCAAACAGCAGACACAGTCGAGCAGATTCGTCTTGTCTTACGCCTACAAATTGGTGAAATCCTCTGGCAATCAGCTGATTCTGTCTTGCGGCTGTGCTTTCTTTCAGTGTCTCCCAGATGCCACTGCGCGGGTAGGAGGCCGCGCACCACGTTTTGAGGCCTGCATCCTGCGCCGCTGCTCTTATGCAGCAACATGTCATCCAGGGAGACCAGCGTAACCAGATATATAAGAAGACATCCAAGCCGTATAGAAGCTCAGTATCTAATGATGTCACAATGGTGAATTAGTCATTATGAGTAATAATAAATTCAGATGTAACCTGTTCTCACAAGAGGAGGCAGGTCTCTTCAAGTAACGACACAAATACAAGACTGCAATGTTATTTTTTCCTCATTCTTTCTAGGTTTCTTATCACATGCATGTGTGATGCATTCATTTCCATGTCCTGAGTTGATTTTATGAAGGCCAATTGCAAACCAGTGTTTCATATGTTTAAATCCTCCGCAGGACAATGCATTGTGGGTAAGTGGGCAGATACACGAGCTAGAAACACTACTTGGTAGGGCGTCTCTTCGCCCTCAAAACAGCCCCAATTCTTTATGTGCATGGACTCCACAAAATGTTGTAAGCATCCCTTTAAGAATCACGCTGACAAGATTGCATCA